GTGGCCCGAATGGCCTTGTTCACTTCCAAAGCGGGGATGGGGGCTCACGGCAGCCTGTCTCCTTTGTGGGGCGGCTCTGGCTGATGAGCTGACCCCGGCAGCATGTCGCCACCCTGCTGTGTAGTCCTGGTCCCAGCTGTGCCCTCACAACAGGGCCAGTCGAGCTGGTCCTACGGGGCTTGCTCGCAGGGCGGGGCCAGGCATAGCACGCTAGCTTGAGGGGCAGGGCTGGATGTACTGGGTTTGCTCGAGGGGCGGGTCCTTTGTGGGGCGGCTCTGGCTGATGAGCTGACCCCGGCAGCATGTCGCCACCCTGCTGTGTAGTCCTGGTCCCAGCTGTGCCCTCACAACAGGGCCAGTCGAGCTGGTCCTACGGGGCTTGCTCGCAGGGCGGGGCCAGGCATAGCACGCTAGCTTGAGGGGCAGGGCTGGATGTACTGGGTTTGCTCGAGGGGCGGGGCTAGGCATACCGGGCTAGCTCGAGGGGCGGGGCTAGGCATACCGGGCTAGCTCGAGGGGCGGGGCTAGGCTGGGGGGAAGTGGGTGAGGGGCAGGGCTAGGCATACCGGGCTAGCGCGGGGCGAGGCATACCGGGCTAGCTCGAGGGGCGGGGCTAGGCTGGCGAGAAGTGAGCTGGGCACACAGCCGGGGGAGCAGGGTGGTAACCTGTGTGTGTTTCAGGGCACTAGTGATGAGGAGGACGGAGATAACGAGGACCCAAATGAGGCAGGTGAGTTCTCGGGCTAGCCAGGCAAGCACAGGGCGGGTTGGGATTGCCCGGTGGCCCCGCAGGAAGCAGCGCCCGGAGCCAAGCTAAGAGCGGGGGTAGAGCGGGTGCCGCCCGGCAGCATCCCCGGCTCCCCCAGATCCTGTCCCTCAGGCTGATAAAACTGCACTTTGCATCAACAGGCCTCAGCTGCTTCCCAGTCGCTTGTTGCCGGTTGATACTCCCAGGCCTGCCCCGCATGCCTGCGTGGCCCCGCCCCGCCCTGCCTGTGCCAGACACGGGCAGATCGCCTGTCACTGCTCTCTGTCCCGAGGCCTCCCTGAGCACGTCCCCTTCTCTGCGGGCCTCTGAGCCCTGCAGACGCCCTGCGCTGCTCTGGGAAGGTGCCTTGCCAGGCCAGGTTCGACAGGCCATGAGCTGCGTCTTGCACGATGGCTTCCCCGTGCGTGGCCCCGCCCCGCCCTGCCTGTGCCAGACACGGGCAGATCGCCTGTCACTGCTCTCTGTCCCGAGGCCTCCCTGAGCACGTCCCCTTCTCTGCGGGCCTCTGAGCCCTGCAGACGCCCTGCGCTGCTCTGGGAAGGTGCCTTGCCAGGCCAGGTTCGACAGGCCATGAGCTGCGTCTTGCACGATGGCTTCCCCGGCCTGACTGGTGCTGCAGCACGGAGAGGAAACTCCCCGGCGTGCAGAAGCCAGGACACTTCTCTGTCTTGTTCGTGCCGTTTGCAGATGGAGGGAACTTACAGGTGGACTCCATTGATGCGGAAGCGGAAGCCGGACCGAGAGCTGAGGCTGAGCCCACGCGACCCAAAAGGAGACACATAGCCACACTGCAGGTACCACGCCCTGTGGGCCTGGCTCAGCTTATTCCCTCCTGCTCCTCCTGGCTGGGCCAGGCCCTGCCTGTGGCCACAGACCCAGCTCCCTTTACCTTGGCCTGATCCAGCTCGGTGCTGAGCGCCCTCGTCTCCTCTGGCTCAGTGAGAAACGCCATAGGCGGAATGGCCCAGCCGGTCCGTTGGTTGCATTCACCCTCTTCCTTGAGGCAGTCTGAGCGGGACGGAAGGAGCCTGAATAACTTGCAGTTTGTTTCAGATCTACAACTGGGAGCTGGAGAATGAGTTTGACAATTTTGAAGACTGGCTGTACATCTTCCCGCTCCATCGGGGCAAGGCGAGCGAGGACGAGGAGGGAAACGAGGAGGAGAACTTTGTGGGAAAGTACAAGGTGCTGTGTCGTGTGGATGCTGTGCCTTGGGTGGGAAATGAGAAATAACAGCAATGCATGAAAGGGACTAGCAGCTCACAGCATAAAGAGATGATGATAATGGGGACTCCAGCTATCCCCATATTGACTGGGTACACGTCACCTCCAGACAGGATGCAGGGATATAGCTGCTTGACACCTCAAATGACGGCTTCTTGGAGCAGCTGGTTCTGGAGCTTGCAAGGGGAGAGGCTATTCTTGGTTTAGTCCTAAGTGGAGCGCAGGATCTGGTCCAAGAGGTAAATACAGCTAGACCGCTTGGAAAGAATGACCACAATATAATTCAATTTAACACCCCTGTGGTGGGAAACACGGTGGCATTGCATTTCAGAAAGAGAAAGTACCCAAAAACGAGGAGGCTAATTAAACCGAAATTAAAAAGTAAAAGTGCCAAAAGTAAAATCCCCGCAAGCTGCATGGAAACTTTTAATATACCACAAAGGAGGCTCAACTGAAATGTTTACCCCAAGTTAAATAACTCCGTAAGAGAACCAAAGCAGAGCCACCGTGGCTTAAGAGCCAAGTAACAGAAGCAGAGAGAGAGAAAAGGCGTTGTTTAAAAAATGGAAGTTAAATCCTAGTGAGGAAAAGAGGAAGGAGCATAAACTTGGGCAAATGTAGGGTAAAAGTATGCTAAGGAAAGGACTTGAAGACCAGCAGGCCAAAACTCAAAAGGGAATAGGAATTTTTTAAAGTACATCAGAAGCAGGAAGCTGGCTACACCGGTGGGGCCACGGGACGATCGAAATGCGAAAGGAGCACTTAGGGATGAGAAGGTCCTTGGGAGAAACTAAACGGATTATTTTCATCAGTCTTCACGGCTGAAGCTGCTGGGGAGATCCCCAGACCTGAGCCGTTCTTTTTATGTGGCAAAGCTGAGGAACTGTCCCAGACTGAGGTGGCATTAGAGGAGGTTTGGAGCACATTGACACAGTTAATAGTCACAGGTCACTCTAAAAGAACTCAAATGGGAAATTGCTGAACTATTATCTGTGGTTTGTAACCTATCCTTTAAATCGGCTTCCGTACCCAGTGACTGGAAGGGAGCTAGCGTGATGTCAGATTTCACAAAGGGCTCTGTAGGTAAGTCTACCGCCGTGGTCACCAACCAGTCGATCGCGAGGCGTTCGGGGCCCCCCATTTCCCCCACCCCCAAGGAGCCCCACTACCTACCTTGAGCAACAGTGGAGGTAGTGGCGGCAACCTATCCTTTAAATCGGCTTCCGTACCCAGTGACTGGAAGGGAGCTAGCGTGATGTCAGATTTCACAAAGGGCTCTGTAGGTAAGTCTACCGCCGTGGTCACCAACCAGTCGATCGCGAGGCGTTCGGGGCCCCCCATTTCCCCCACCCCCAAGGAGCCCCACTACCTACCTTGAGCAACAGTGGAGGTAGTGGCGGCTT